GGCAAAAATTGAATTCTTAAATGCTGAAGAGATGTACATTCCATAATTAAATGGTATTCATCTCCCAACTTATCTGATTCGCATTAATCACAAAATCTATTCATACGTTCTATACATTTATACCGTCCTCTCTCGTTAGGAAGCTTATGATTTCCTGTCCTAATATATAAACTTACATAAAATATTCAAAGTACAATTTGGTAAACTAGCATTAAAATACCTTTCTTGGTCAAAAATACTTTTAAAAATTCTATAATTACAACCCTTTGGACTGCTAAGTATTCAGCTTTCCTCTTCTGTACAATACGCGATGGAATTTAGTTTAGTTCAGTTTATTTATCTCTTGTTTGAAGAGCTCTCATGTAGGGTACAACTTCGTCTACGTCTACATCCGGGTTCTTTCCCATTGGATTACACAGGGGTGCGATTTTCAATGCCGCTTTTATTATATGCAGAGTTGCATTTGCACAAACGATAGATATGTATGTAATCAAGATGCAACAAGCCTTTTTGCACTATAATCCCCAAATCCGAAGAAATCTGTAGCTGAAAATGCCGTCCAATTCCATTGAATAATCGTCCGCCATTTTGATGCTTTACATACGCTATGATGTAATCATCGACCAATGGAATTAGCGGATCGTGACCTTTGACTTTTCAATCTCCGGACGTTTCGTTCAGAGTAATCGACTTGTTCAACGAGCCAATGAAAATTTGTCCCTTCCAAAGCGATGCATCGTGGGAGATATTCGTGTAAATTACCACCTGATCTCTTATCGCGAATTTGAGTATTGCAGACTCCGAAGGACTCTCCTCATTGACTTCAAAATAAGTCGCTATCTGGGTATTTTATTTTGTGTATAATAATTATATGCGAAATAAAATCTGATAAATAGAAAAGTGTACATTCTCCTCTAAGTGTATGACAACACTAATATCCAAAGACCGACGGCCTGAAAGTCAACATTTCACCATGTTGCGTTCTGGTATTTGCTATGTTGGAACAGGTCCCGCAAGGATGTAAAATTTCCTAATGAGTATTTTAGACCCGGGATTTTAGACTACGTTCTAAGCCTGCTTTGAAGATTCTAACAAAATCATCAAGTACCAACGAGCGTTAACACCCTACGCTATTCTCAATGGTTAGACTTACACAGCATGTTTGATTGCACTTCGTTACGAAACATTTTGATCTGAAAAGGCGATGTGTTATACAGAGACAAAATCCTTCGTCACGAAGCTTTTTTGTGAAAATGCTGCCGGTAACGAAGCAATCAAAGCTGCTTGGTACGTAACAGACACCAACTAGGACTTCCAGCTGCCTTTATGGATAGGGTATACTAACCAGTAACCAGTGTAAAAAGTCCTTTCCTCATGAAGATAAGCGTATTGTTAATTAGTACCATACGGGTATCATTGTGAAACAATAAAGCATTAAAAGTCATGGAAATCCATTCGGTTTACAATGCTGTAAACGTGTGATATAATACTTGAAACGTTCAAAATGTTATATTTCAAGGATTTTTTGAAAATTCACGTTTACTTGATTTAGAAATCTAACATATTATCAATACTTGTGTGATTTATGTTGAAAATAAGATATAAATCTCTTCTAAAGCTTGTAGGACTTGTTCTGTCTGGAAATAAGGCTTTCTGCACAGTTGGAATGGTACCGAGTCACGAAGATAGCAGCGTTGGGGATGATTAGGCAGCAGACCACTACAAAACAAATTCGCCAAAGAAAATAGATTTATTCGAAAGTGGGAACAGGTGCTTCAGATAACCATAAAGCAAATGATGAAGGCAAATGAAGTTCAGGGCTTCATTGATCGCTTGAGCTGATTTGAGCTGAAAACTTCAAGACTACCATCTACATAAGAAAATCGAGTAAATCAAAAAACTGAATTGAAGTATTTCATAAATCTCTATCGATCTCCAATTCTTTATTAAATTGTATCACCTCACGGGTAAATCGATCTTACATGGGGGTGTTTATCGGATTCGATGAATGGTATCTCCCCTGTCAGGATCCTTCAAGGAGTTTCATCTTCCATGTTACTACATGTACTGATATCGATGTATTAAAGAAGTGCATTATTCGCACAAGTAACATCATCACTGAAGGGATTGAATTTACAATGGACATGGTCACTGATCCGTGTGTCTTATGCCATATGACCTATAAATCAAGAATCTGTGGTACAGACTGCTTTCTTGGATATCGCCGTTCAGACGTTGTTTCACAGTTACGGCACGGTTAGTTCAAACTGACTAGACTAAGGAAATAAAATATTGAGCCGAGTACTGCAGAGTTAAACTACTCGATTGCAGATGTACTTCTACGAGGATACAATCACCAATTTAATCACTGTGGTCTAATGATACTCGGTAATCAATATGAAGGACAATTATTACGAATAAAAGTAGACGTAATTAGAGAATGTTCCTTCATAAATGAATCTATGCATCTGCATTTACGACAACCAGCTTGACAAATCAATTGGCTTTAAAACGGAGTAAAGGGATAAATTTCTACTATGCAAAACAACTTTTCTGTGAAGTATATAGACGATAGGCTGCTGAACAGGTATTTCTAATAATCTTACATAGGTCGTTCATTAACTTCAACACAATTTCAATATCTTTAGGCAATAGATCTTAAGGTTTCAGCGACATATGAAATGATCAGTGTAATAAAATGTAAAAATATCCATTCCCTTTTCATCTTCACATTTCTTTCGTACGTTTTTTTTATTTTAGTACATCTGGTAAGGTATTGACATGATTGATAAGAAAATATGTTATATATTTTTCTTCATGCACTGAATAGATAATAATATTATTCTCTTACAAGGAATTAGAAGGGATTGAGATGAGCTTAAATATTTCAAGGGTGAAAAGTTTGGAGATGAGCTGAAAAGTTTCAAAATAGAAATGGGTCGTACTCTTTGAATTGTTGATTCTACTGAAAGTTCAAAAAGGAAGTCAACATTAGAATTAAACAACATATCCCTTTCTGACGCTCATAAACTATACCAATTAGTTACATGATGAAGCATCCATAAAATGCCCAAAAGCATAATGGCCATGGGTTATATGTATATTTGCGAGTCGAGCCTAAACATTCCAACCGTATCTAAACTTTGAATAATTACACTTATCCCTCCTTTAGGTGGAGATGTTACGTACACAATCATATAAAGAGATATATCAAATTCCCACCGAACAAGATTCTTTAGAAGCAGTTTGGCTAGCTATCTCACAACTAGTTACTTTGACGGAACGTCAATGTTACAAAATGGATGAACTTCCTGGATACGAGTTTTTGCTCGATTAACAAGTTGCGGATTATCATTTGGCAAAAAGTTAGACGATATAGTCTAGCTTTAAGAAATGCTCTCGGTTTGGAATTTGATTTTTAAATGAAGCTTTAATTCATGCATTTAGACCATCGCTTTTGTTACATTGGCGTAAGTCGTCAAAGTAACATACATTGGTAATTTAACGGACTTTCGTCAATGTAACAAAAGCGAGGGACTAAATATATGAATTGCAACTTCATTTACAAAACAAATTCCAAATCGAAGAAATTTATTTAAGCTAGACTATATTTTCCAGCTTTGTACTGAACTGCATTTGTCAGATTTGGTTCGTAAATCGAATGCATTTTGAGTAATGCAGTTATCTATCTAACGGTAGTTCTCACAAAAGTTGATTGATCCTGATTGTATATCATTTTTTATTTTGTCATAGAAGTCTAATTAAAATTGGACGATTTTCAACAAGAAATAATGTTTTCTTGCTTTTTGTGATTTGCAAGAAAACGCCTTTATCTTAGTAATATATTGTTTAAGGTATTAATCATACTCGTACCTAATACCGAAGACTAAGCGCGAACATTAAAATAGTAGTTTTACGTTTTTAATAAAGGAACGATTATTTATTTTATGTGTAACAGGACAATTTATAGTGTACCATTAACGTTGACATTCAATATCATAGTGATAACAGCTTAAAAGACAAAGATTATTTTTTGAATTATTGGTGACGATTCCCAAAAGGTTATTCGCATTAATGAATTTCCATTTTCTTATCATTATTGATTGAACTTCGGAATGTTTATATTTATCGCAAAACCTATTAGATCATCAATTTTATTTATGTCATTTTCTGCTGTAAATTAGGTGCTGAGGAGATTGCATACTTACTTTTCATACTTATCAAATGCAAATCCCCCAATCGGCTCTCTCATAAACCTCATGTACATGGTTCTCCAATTCCTTCATAACCACTAGTAATTCTTGAATTATGGTGACCAGATATTTGGTGTTACTTATTCGAAAAAGTTCACTTGTATCTTCCATTGATGATTTAAGACTACTACCACGACAGATCTACCAATGACATTTTTTAGTTCATAGCCTCCATCCTACGCTTGATTTACCACAGACCGTTTGGCTTTTGGTTAATCAAGCCACTGTAAATTTATAATCGATTTGTTAAAATGTCTTGGGTTTGATATGCACTAAAGGTATTTTTCAATCTTCTTGTCCTTCATTCGGTTTACCGTGGGACCCTTTTCACACTTGGATTCACCAATCTATTGACCTGTATAAGGTATCCAGAGCAAACTCAGAACATCTGTACATCGCATTTGTCCTATATTCGGCTATCGTGGTTGTTTTCGCATTTGGATGGGCTACTGAGTCATTGTCCTACATTAGATTTACTTAAATTCATCACATTTTCACATTTGGTTACTAAGTCCCTACATTAGGTTTACCTTGGAAATCGTCATATTTGTATAGAAACCATTGTTCTACATTTGGTTTACCGAGGAAATATTTCTAATTTGGTTTACCATGCTTTCCGAGAATACTCGTAAAATTGTGTTCCCGAGTCTAAACATTTAAATAGGTACTGTATGTGTGTCATTTTAACCCTTCCTTTTAATTAATTGCTTCTTCTTCTTCAGTGCAATTTTTACGAGAAATAAAAGGGAAATGATGATAAATTAACAAACACTTGGAGGAACTGGCCCAAAGCTAATTGTTAAGTGATTGGAATACTAATTCAAGGGCCACTTTCACACTGATTGTCATCCGGATTAATGCATCATTGTCTCCGTGAGAAATCGAATAGAGATGCTGTATCAAATCGTACTATTTACATTACTTTTACCTTAAATCTAAATAACTGAGTTAAGAAGCAATCACCTATCAACAAAGAACATGGCATTACACGATGGATCAAAAAAATATGATTACATTCTTAGAATATATACGTCATAGCAACGCATGAGTTGAGTCCTTAATTGTGAAGATGACATTTAAGGTTAACAGAAAATTGAGGATCTTACATGGGAAACAGCGAGCTATCAAGTTGTGCGTATGGACCTTGAGTTAAAGTATTCAGAAAAAATAACATCCTGATTTCTTTTTCAGGTGATCTTGAGGTGTTGAGGCTATGATCGTGGTGTCACAACTGAATGCGGAAGGACCATCGGGGACAGAGGAAACGGAAGCCGGTATGGGAAACTACACCTATGAGCAGATATTCAATGAAAGTGGAACGGATAATGCAACAGCTAAACCACATTACAATTTCTTTGTACAGTCTCAATTCATCACAGCTCTTATATGTTTACCTATAATTTGTACTTTCGGAATTATCGGAAACATTCTCAGTTTGATCGTGCTTCAACAAAAGAAAATGTCCAGCTCGACAAATACATTTCTTTCAGCCATGGCGATAGCTGATTTAATTAAATTGATAAATGATGAGATATATTTCGTGGTGATATTGATGCAGCGCTATAATCCCGAGATGAGCCAAACAGGATTTGTACACATATATCCCTACTCCCATTATGTTTTCAATGGTGCAATGTTGATTACATCTTGGTTAACTGTTAGTGTTGCAGTGGAACGCTACATCTCAGTGTGTCATCCACATCTTGCCAAAAGCATGTGCACTATACCCCGGGCCAGGCTAGTAAGCTCTTGTGTTGCACTTGGCATGTCAATAATAGCACTGCCATCTGCCTTCAAATACCACACAGTCGTCTCTAAGCCATTGGATAATACAAGCGAGGGGGTAGTTAATATGACAATAGAACTGACATCATTTGGAAAAGACGAACACGTTATGAACATATACACATGGATTCAGACTCTACTGCGCTCCATTATTCCGTTATTTGTGCTTGTATTCATTAATGCTTCAATAATACGTTCCCTCGGGAGATCGAAAATTCAGGGAGCCGCTAGTGCTGCCAGATATAGGATCACTGTCATGTTGGTCGCCATTATCGTCGTCTTCCTTATTTGTATCACTCCTGACGCCATCATGTCAACCTTTCTCGGCCTTGGTTACTACGAGGCTAACTATCTGGTGCGTGGTATCAGGGAATTCACTGACTTGCTGCTTGCCATCAACTCCGCTGTTAATTTTGTACTCTATTGCACATTTAGTAAAGTTTTTAGAGAAACGTTTATGACGTTCTTTTGCAACTACCACATTATAAGTAACCAGTCTACGGTATCAAGAACTGGTAATGGTTTTCCCGATGCTAAACATGATCGCCATGAGAGCCCATCAAGGAGGGAACAATTGCACACTGGAGAAACCGGATCAAACCAGTTGACTCAACCACTGTTCAATGGTCATGTGACAAAGGCAAACAAAACAATATATCTGACAGATTGTCCACAGGAGTTCGTCTAGACTGATTAACATTTGTACCAAGGTTAAGACACAATCTCCTCTAAATCCCGATAATATATCTTCACATCTAAAAGCGATCTGCATTCCTGCGAAACCATTGTATGGCATCTCATCAATTAAGAGTTTTCCAATGATGGTACTGTTTTGACTGTGGGGCCATTTGGATGTGTCATGTCGACTTCCCTACATTAGCGCCGATGTATCTTTGGTTTAACATCGAAAAGTATTAGTTATACATTGATAAGTTAGTTTTAGTATACATTGATCAATGATTGTTTGTAAATCAGAGATCGCACGGAATAGGTATATATAGATGAAGATGGAGATCGTTACGTAATACATAATCTAGATGAATATCCATGACAGATAAGACAGCCTAGTTAGAAAGTTGTAAGAAATTGCCTGGATTATACAAAATTGCCATCGTACATCCTGATACCAATTACATATTTCTAGTAAGCTTATTCTGTTGACATTGGTTGACACACAGAACACTAGTGATATCACCTTTTTAAGTTTCATGACTCTAAATCAGATAAAAGATACGCTGAAATACCTTTTTATCAGTTTTGCTGGATTTTGAGATCTACTAGATCGGCACTATCCAACACAGAGATGTAGCGAATGGGCAAATTGGACCTAAATCAGGCCAATTTTATGTTTGTAAGGACTAGAAATATTTTATAAGTGACAACTTATTATTTGCTAACTATCGATAATAATTCGTAAACAAACAATTTTACTGTTTCTATCAATTTAGAAATGTATTTTTACGAATAACAATCTTAAATATTGCCCAAGAATTACGGGGAAATAGCAAAGATATACATTATATTTGTGCATAATGATTAAAGTAAATGATAAAATGAAACTTAACGAATATTATAGGAATATCCTATGGTTTTGAAAAAATATCATTTATATCCATGAGTGGATATTGATATCTTCATGAGTGAGCGCAGCGAATGAGTGAAGATATTTATATCCATGAGTGGATACAATTGATATTTTTGAAAAACCATGGGATTGTCCGTTTATCCCATGGGAAATCATCAACAGCGAAAAAAGTTGAAAAATATAATTTGAGAAAAAATTTGAAAATATAATTGAAAAAATTGTGAAAAATTGTTGAAATTTTTTTTAGGAAATTTTGAAAATCTTTTTAAATATTTTTTGAAAATAATTAAAAAATGTAAAAAGAATTTTTTTTGAAAAAATTCGAAACCCTCGAATATCACTTTTAAAACCATCGAATATCACTTTTAAAACCATCGAATATCACTTTTTAAGACGTGATATTCGATAGTTTAAAAGTGATATTCGATGGTTTGTGAATTTTATGCTAAAATATGATATCTTGATCCACATATCAAATATATCTTCATGTGACATTCGATCTATATCTTTGCAACCATGGGATAAAGATATAAACAAATGTAGACTGCAAGTCTCAGGTTCGTGATCTCAATGAACCAATGAATAACTAATATCAATACATATGACAATGACATGAATATGATCAATTTCACGAATGCATTTTACTTGGATAAAAATTCGATAAAGAAAAATTAAAATGCCAATAATAGGACTTATTCATTGTTAAATTAATTTGACATTTTGTTAGTAAATATTAACTATAATTGAAACAAGGATATAGATACAAAATGACACCTTTTTTTCAAATACGAATACAGGAGAGAACAAGTCCCCCTCTCTTTTTCTTGACTTTTTTTAAATCTCAGTTATTAGGATAAACCCTAAAGCGTTCTCAACAAACACAATTTTGTTTAACTCATAGTCACGTTTCATTTTAATTAAAGCTTTTCAGAAATCAAAAGCGTCGAGAAAAGTAACACGAGGAACTAAATCTTCGAATCGCTTGATGATTCAAGATGAATATATGCATCACACCATCACTGACATGAATGCGAACCTCTAAATCCACACACGTTCCGGCTTGGAAATGCCCGTTCTTGTTTGTGGACTTTTGAGCAATCCGCACTCCAAACACCACCTGGACTGTTGGCCACCCAGTTCCGGTGTGAAAGAAATGATGATCCCCAGGGATTATGGTCCCCTTTCTTAACGACCCTTGCTAGCCCTGTTTGCGTATAAGATAATGAGGGAAAGAGTTGTATTTAGGTCACCATATAAATCAATGGAGAGTCGGACTATAATTTGATAGGACCTCCTACCCTTTTACACCGCAAGGACCATTTTGGGCCAAACACTACTAATGATTTTTTAACTAAATGTACGAGTAGAGAGTATGCGCTAACTGCACGTATACAAATACTGAAAATCGTCCAAGTGAGTGAGATTTTTTGTTGAAAACACCTGAGTATGTAACGAGCACTGCAGGGCTTATTGTTCTTTTTAGTGATACCTGGGGAAAAACCATATTAAAACATTACGCAATTCACCAGCACCGCGGGCATACAAAATGCAATCATATGGTGTCTTTGTATTATGGTGGGTCCCAGTGACATTGAGAGGAAATGAAGGGGCTTTGATCGCATTAAAGTTCTGTGTGCAGTTGATTGGCATCCTTGACATTCGGATTCGCTGCTACGGCGTTCAGCGTATCATTTTAGTTACCCTACTATCAGTGATCACACCAAACTAGTTCTCACTACGTTCTCGAAAACGGGCTTCAACTGTGTACGAACGGACTGGACGTACTTAGACCCGTTTGGGGTCTGTTTACAAACTTCATCAAACGTACTCGAACGGATAGGTCCTCTAGAACTTAGAACATGCTCAAAATGTTCTCTTGATCGTCATGTTCTACAATTAGAACGAGTGACAACCTACTAACGACGAGCTGGACGTACTACGAACGTAACCGTCGTACTTCAATCCTACTAGGGACGTTTTTACAACGAGTTGAACTGTCTGAGGACCTATTGAAAACGAAGTAGAACTAATTGCAAACGGGTTAAAACTGATTAAGAACGTATTTATCAACGAGTTAGCAAAACGGAATGAACGTAGCTACAACGTTCTACGGTCTGTTTACGAACTTCATGGACTTTCCCGGACGGGGAATGTGATTTAGAATTTTGAATCGATTCAAAATTTGATAGCGACCATATCGTTCTGTAATCAGGTCATGATGACCTTCTAGACTAAGGGACGCGTTATACGACGTTGCACACCGACGTGGCGCGACCTGAACGAAGGCGAATGAGATGGACGTATTGAAGACTGTTTATGAACGAAGTGGCTAATTATTTTAGACATATTTCCCGACCACAGCCAGATTGAGCCCGTTTTACGACGTTTTCGTAGAACTGGCAAGAACGGGTAAGAACTAGTTTGGTGTGATAGGGGTGTTAGTGAGAATATGTCTCTTCAAGGTGGGAATACTCAAAATTAAAAATGAAGATTAGTCATTCTTCTCAACCAATGTATAATGCCTTTAAATATCAGCCACGAGATAAAGATGTGATAAAAAGTATCACCATTGACTCCCTCATATCTAACATCAATTAAGTGATCGCAAATGCGACCATATCCACTGTTGACGTATTAATTGACAATAACATCAACGCTATCAGACAGGACATGACATTAACTCTCAAATGACAAGCACTTCCCAAATGTCAGGGAGAATTTCGAAAAAAACAAAATCCACTGCAATCAAATCTAAATCAATGTCAATGATGATTTCATCATGTTTTGTATAAGTCGTATGATACTCAGATAAGAGGAAATAATGTTTGAAACGCGTTTAATTAAAATCATGTTATACCCCTGGTTATACCATGGTTACTGCGCTTGTTTCGGCACTTGACTTGCGTTTTTTAGACAGAAAGATGTGATGAGCATCATAATACGTAATTAAGTAGCCCGACAAGATATGAAGTAATCCAGCAATCAAATTCTTACATTACTGAACAAATAATTCAAAAACTCGAGGAGAGTGAGAAATCATTAATCAGTCATCCTAGTATAGCACTCGGAGAAACACAAGACACAGATTGTGCATATTCCTTACTAGCACTGAGCTTTCCAATACTACTTTTGGTTTTATCATTCTGTTCGCGGTTTTCAGTTTGTGACCAGATCTGCCTCTCGGAGACTCCCTATTCCCTCTTCCTAGTCCGTTCGGGTTGTGAAAAAAAGTTGTTAGTATTAGGAACTTGATTCATATTCAACCAATACATGCAAGTAGCAAATAAGTTACCATGCAACGTATCCATCAAATAGTACTTAGTATACTGCCTTGATGTGGAAAAGTCAGTCGGACACTCGGTCGGTCAACAGGTCTTACCCCCCCCCCCCTCCCCCTTTCACACTAGTTCTCAACCGTTCTTTCCAGCTACAAAAATGTCGTATAGAAATAAAAATCTGGCTTTTGTCGGGAAATATGTCTAAAATAATTAGCTACTTCGTTCATAAACAGTCTTCAAAACGTCCATCTCGCAGTTCATTCAGGTCGCATTGTGTCGGTGTTCACACGTAAGTAAGTGCAATTGATATCCGATTGCACAGCGTCGTTAACGCGTCCCTAGTAGGGTCGAAGTACGGCAATTACGTTCCGAGTCTAGTAGTTCATCTTGTTCGAAGTACGTTGTCACACGATCTAATCGCAGAACGTTATGGTCGGCATCGAATTTTGAACGTTGCAGCTACGTTCGTTCAGACCACACACAGTTTAAAGGCCCGGTCACACCGCCCGGACGTTGCTGGAGCGTTCCTTCAACGTTGAAAAAATTCATCAACGCTCGTCAACGCACACAAAATGGGGAAAAAACAAAAACACGGGCGTTGGCTTAGCGGTGCACCGCTGAAGCCGGCGTTGCTTTAGCGTTGGTTAAGCAGTTGCGAGCGGTAGCTAGCGTTTCTTTAGCGGTAATGCGAGCGTTGGTATAGCGGCGTTCTGCGCATGAGAGCGTTGCCTCGGCGGGGGTATAAATAGCAACAGCGTTGGTTTAGCAGCATATCGCGTTTGACTACTGGGAAATTATTTCAAGTGGGAAGTGTTTAAGAGTAAAGACCTTTATTGGAATTTGTAACTTTAACAAAAGTCCTTCAAGGATTAAAGAAGAAATGTTTTAAATCTTAAGTGCTTCTATTAATGTAATATGACATTAAGAATGAATAACATTACAATTTTCTTTAATAATCTCTCATATCATTTCAAACAAACAGATCACAATTTAATCATTGCATTTCCATTACTTGGAATCGATTTACGTTCAAATTGCTTTAACAATGTCAAATAA